TTGAGTTGATCATTAACAAAGGCCTGTGATTTAATATTTTTAATTCTGTTCAGCACAGTGTTCTCATTCACTGCTACAAAGGAGAATGTTTCATTCAACTCGATCGTCACATTTGTAGAATAATGATTTATGAGTTCTTCACTAGGAGCAATTGCATTATTCGACAAGTTCACGAAATATTTATTCAGAGCATTTACGTCTGATATATCATCTGGCAGAGAAGTATGTTTGTATTTGCATATATTGAATTTTTTGAGTTCACACCATTTTTCTTTTGACGAACAACTTTGAAATTTCTTCTCAGATTTCACTGCGAAATTCGTATGATTCCTAATTTGTTCATAATATTCATAATGAGCTGCAAGCTAAGTAATTTTCAATTGTTTCAGAGCGTTATCTGTCATTCACGGGCAGTATTTATATTACCTCCTTTTTTTACCTTCCTTATATATAGGAGAATGTCTGTCAAATAAAGATAAACATATCACTTTTTCGTAGTTGAACAGTTGGTATAGTAGTTGGATGGTCCAACAATAAAAAAATTGGAACACCAAATGAAGAATGGGTATCTTTGACTAATTTTCTAGAAATGTTTGAAACCTAGAGGCCCTACACCTAATGGGCATGCTAGCTTCCGCAATGCATCAACAGAAAGCATCAAACTGCATAATAACAATAAGTATTCCTAATGATTATTAGTAGATAGAGAATATATTATTCTTGTTAGCCATTCCTATTCGCAGTGGAAGATTACAGTGACCCCAGAAGTGCCACAAGGCTCACATTCATGTCCTCTGCTATTCTTGATTTTAATTAATGACGTGGAAATGTGTCAAGAAATATGAATTCTTACTTTACGCAGACGATTCAGAAATATTTTCAAGAGTCGAGTCTCGTGAGGACTGTGCAGCACTAAATCCTGATCTTTTGAGATTCTCACAATATTGCGAGAAGAATTAATCATTCATGAACATAAATAAATGTTGTATTATCTCAATTTTGCATTGAGTTATAATTTGTCTGGCACTGTTCTGAAGAGAGTGGACGAAATCTAAGATCTAGGGCTCATTCTAGATTCCGAGATGACTAAAAAAATTGTTGTTCTAAAATTGTTCTATCCGTCATTCGGTTGCCCCCTTACGAGCAACCCTCAGAAGTCTTCGAGAGTCTTGTGCGAGCAAGGAATGACGGGGGCCTTACCTTTTAACGTGTGATCCCAAACACTTTCTTGGGCCATCAGAAAAATTTCTGCAGTCGACGGGACTCGAACCCACGACCGGCAAGCGAATGCGGATTAGAATATAGACACTCTGTCCGCACGGCTACCTGGCTACTTTCAACAAACAATACAATTATATAATGAGTAGATGTAATGAAATGTTGGGCTCGAATTTGAAAGAGCTTCAAACCTCAGAATTCCAGAAATCATTGGAATTTCTCTATTGCGCATTCGTTTATAGCAAATTTCTCGAGTGTGATTTGGAATCCAGGATATAATGTACATAAACTTATGATCAAAAAAGTACAAAATGGATTCGTGAGATTTCTGAATTCAAAAATTGATGAAACCTACAACAAAGAAAATATTCATCTAGTTCGACAGTCATTTGGTAATTTGGAACTTGGAGAACGAAGAACAACCACTCACTCAGTATTATTCACGTTCAAGGTTCAAATGAATCATTATGACTGTCCAAGATTATTATTATTTTTCTGATACATATTACTTCTGGGAATACTCGTGATAATTTCTTCCTAAATAGAGATTATCGGAATATGAATTCAGGCTGCAATTCTGCAATTAGTAGATTGAGCAGTTTCAACAAACATTGTATCATTGATATTTACTGTATATCTTTATTCACCTTCAACCAAAGAGTAAACAACATTTTCTGCCCATAGGTGATTCTCCAAAATTGTTGAACATTCTGATATCCACATCAACTATCATTCTTCTACTCATTCCACTATGAGATCTCAACGAGCTGTCATGCAATAGGATATTGTGCAACAAGTGGGAAGAGTTCAACTTTTCTCACGAGTGTGGAAGTATGTGGCACGAGCCTGAACGGCGAGTGATGCAAACACACGAGTGAGAAGAGTGCTCTTCCCCACACATGTTGCACACTATACTTTTTCTACAACTGCACTTATTCAAAGAATGCGAGTAATGTATATAGCTTATTCGTTTTCATTTTATAATGTGGCACAAGGCAACATTGAATATTGTGACCGAAGAGTAGACGCCTTCCCTAGTTCCTCATAGTATTTGAAAAAAATACACTCTCCGAAGAATATTTCATTTCTGTATTTTTTTAGATTTCATAAATTTTTCGTTTATGCCAATCCATACTTTTTTCTTGAAATTTCCGGAAACAAATCCAACTTTCGCAGCTTCTTCCATTATGTCTATCTCTGGCGGTGTATTCATCAAAATCGTCACATCTCGGTATTTTTTTTATCGCTTGGAGCGCACGAAAGGAAATTCCTATAATGTTCAAAAAACATCGTGCGTTCCTATAGGAAGAAGAGGGACAGGAGGGAGGTATTGAAATTTTTCTTGAACTTCTGGAGATAATATGTTGTTGGGATTACTTCCTCAGGTATATACATCATATTATTTATTATGAGTTATTGTTGGAATAATATTTGATGGAAAATACGATTTATATCAGAAGCACTAATGAGAACTACTCTAAAGGATTTAAAAAACTCCTTCTGACAGTTGTGACAACTATTCAAAGCTGAACAGCAACCACAAGTTTTGGTCGATTTTTGTTGATTCTCCATGGAAATGTATGTTGTGTTGGCAAAGTGCCGTGAGAAAAAATATGTTTCCCCGACTGGCAGCGAATATTGATTTTGGTGACACATATCAATCAGCAAAGTATTACTTTTCCTGCCTAGGCAGCAAAGTGGTTACTCTGCTGATTGATATGTGTCAGCAAAATTATTAATGCATAAATCGTTTATAATTTCCTTCATATTTCATCCGAGACTTCTCCGGCAACAAATTCAACTCTATATTTTTTGCTACCTCCCTCATTTCTGGAGGAGTAAGTACTTCCAGATCGCTATCACTGTCCATTATATAAAAATTTATACACACCGATATTTTTTTGCACAACTGTCAGAAATTTCATGAATTGTCAAACTATAATTATTATGGACATCATTTCAATTGAACACTACAGGGAAAATAAAGAGATTGTGAGAATTGTAATAATTTGCAAATACGATATCCTCCTATATCATTATGAACAATCGGAGAAAAAATTATATGTTCAACTCGGCAGCAAAGTAGATTGACTGCCTTAGCTGAATTCCTATCAGCAGCATCGGCAGTCAATCAACTACTTTGCTGCCTAGTTGAACAAATAACTATTCTCACAGTATGAGCGCTACATGGTTTTGCAACTAAGTTAGCTATTTGAAATGCGGCACTTTTCATAGCAGTAGTAGAAAAAATATTGTATCAGCGGATCCTGTTCTGAGTTTTCAACCTGTTTGTATTTCAAAGTTGTAATAAAAAAAATACAGTAACTTACAACCATGTATATAATGTTGTCATTACTAACTTCAGTGAAGGTTGGGAAGTGTCACATCACACACCTCTACTTTTCCCTCACTTTCCGCTTCTCACTACTTCCCGCCCCAACTTCCTGCCCTCACTCATTCAGGTATGTTCAGAACGAAACAGAGATTTATTAATTTCGATCGGAATATGATGGTTGTAAATAAAATAGTGTACAAACCTCGGTAGGAAGTTTCATTCCTGTCTCGAAATTATATAGCTTACCTCGAAACTTTCCACCTCGGTGTGTAATAAACTATTTCAATTTATAAACGGAAATAAGTGTATTATATGAAAGTCTTTGTTTGATATTCATTAATTCTTTTTTCTACAAGCGTGCGTGATTCACCCTATACCCGCACGCAATTTAGTTTGGGAAGTGTCATTTTCCCGCAACAGTACGGGAAAATTTTCCCACACTAGTGCGGGAAATTTTTTCCCGCACTAGTGCGGGAAAACAAAGATATGATATAATCGCTAGTAATATAAGTGGTTGGTGATGGAATATAAAAGTTTAAGATTGTTTGTTGCAGTATTAAGTATGTATGTTCAGAATCATCCATCAAATTATGCACTATTTATTGTAAAAATTAAGAAATATTGAGAAATAAAAATGGATTATTATAAAAATCCCCCTATAGATTTGGATTGATCTGACGGGAAACGTCAATTTGTCATGCCAATTAAACCTCAAATAAGTTTGAAATTGTCGAAGTGACAGACAAAGCGTTACTGTCATTTTCGATTCAGTGGAAATGCCACAATGTGATCAAAAACTTCTAGCTATAGGGATTTGATACAGATGCGTTAATATCACCAACGAAGTCTTAAGAAAGGTATGAGAAGCTATACACGCGTTTGATTGAATGGTGCAACAATAAAGAAATGAAAAAAAGCGAATGAAGAATAGGTATTTTTGGCTCATTCCATAGAAGTGTCTGGAACCTAGAGACCAAACTCCTAATGGGCCTGCTGGCTTCCGCAATGAACCAACATAATGCGTCAAACTGTAAGTTCACAATAGCTATTACTAATAATTAATAGATAGAGAATATATATCTCTTGTTAGATGTTCCCGAGGATGTTTCTATTTGCTTGAATAATTAATTGAACGATTCAATCAATTTCCTACGCTTGAAGAAAAAATATTGTTCCTAACTCATGCGGAAAGTGTCTTTCCCGCACTCGACTGCTTGCCCGAACTCCGCTTCGCGTCGTTCGTGTCAACGGCAGTCACGTGCGGGAAAGAATCACTTTCCGCACTTGTTAGGAAAATTACTATTTCATGTTCTGGTTCCCACGAAAAGGGATATCATGTAATCCAAGGGAAATGAGGCATGAATTTGTGTTCTTCTTGTAATGTGTTTAGCATTGTTGTGACTGGTGTCTAGTCGATCTAATATTGAAATAAGATAATTCCACTTACGTTGAAAAGGATGATTATTTGTACTAAAAACCCGCGAAACAACATATTAACTAGGATTGTCGCGACTCGTCGTAATAAGCAAAAAATCGACGGCGCGGAAATGCATCGTATTCAATGTCGAATGGGAAGTAACGCTCTACGCGTAAATATATATTTTATTTCATTACCATGCAAAAACACGAAATTAATTGGCAGAGATTTAACAGATAACATTGGCGTAGCTATATTATTTTGTGACGACCACATTTCTAGAAGGATGACTACACTGACTGAGTCAGAAACTAGACGTGTACTATGATTTACGAAAGCATAGTAGGCTCAAGTCACTTTTTTTCATATATACATGTACAACTTCTGTATATTCTCACAGGTGCAACTGTCTATATTTTCTTATTTGTAACTGTCTATGCTCATTTGTTAATAAAGAAATTGACGATTCCGATTCGACATTCGGTGAGAGTATTTGTACGAGTCCATCAGTCTTTTTTGTTATTTTGTTCATAAAAACATGATATTTCATCTGATTCATCGAACAAATAACGTTAATTTTCTGTTCTGCTCTTTTTTAGTAACCCTAATAACACAATTATGTCCCATGGATAACCTTAGGACGTCTTGTCGAGACATTCAGGACGTGCATAGGACGATAGAATTGGGTACCGTACCGTGGACGTCCATTGGACGTCGGTGAGACGCACAAATGTCCCACTTGGGGACCAACTAGGGACGTCCTTGGGGAATGTCCCTGAGGCAACTATCGAATACCTAGATCCTACAGTATTCCTCATCAACCATTACGGATGACATCCTTAGGACATCCGTAGGACAACCTATCAGCTACGCTGAGGGATATCAATTGGATGTACATAGGATGTCCCAGGGACGTACGAATTATTCTTGAATTTGAATTTTACTGGGTCCCTCCAGGACCAGATCTTGCATAACTGATGAGGATATCCAGTTGAGTTGATGGTCCGTAAAAGGTACCCAATAGATCCTAAAAAGTTTCCCAAGGATGTCGAATGGACTCAAGTGAAGGACATTGACGGGGAGTATTTATAGTCTACGAGCAATCATTCGTCGGCGAGGTGTGAGTAAACGTCCTCGCAGGGACAACATATTGAAAGTACCGACTGGGACGTCCGTAGGACGTTATTTCTAGGACATTGGATGAGAACAGTTCATGTACCAATTGGGACATCCGACGGATATTCCTAAGGGACATTCGAAGGACGTCCCTAGAGGACATTTCGATTGTTATACGATCCTGGAAATATTAAGGGCGTCTGTGCAGAGTTATTTGAAGGAATGTACTATCAGGGACATTTCATGGTTGTCTAGAAGGGACATTATATGAGATCAGAAGTCATGCCAGAATATGTACTACTCGGGACATCCGATGGATGTCCCTAAAGGAACGTTCAAAATCATATCCCCTCAGGGACATGCCAAGGACGTCCTTGCATGGACATTCCACAATATGTACCACGTGGAAAGTCTGAGGGATGCTATTTCCAGGACAATTGAGATGATGTACCAGCTGGGACATTCTGTGGATGTACTTGCTCGGACATTGCATGAGATGTACGGGATGGGACATCCCAAGGACACCTATTTTTGCACCAGGACGTTCGGACTTGAATTGTACCAAATAGGGACGTCCCTAGGAATTTGTGTGCTCTTAGGGAAAGGACAAGAACTCATTGATAATTACCGACTCAATTCTACATTTTTATATGAATAATGAATCAACAAATCTCTCAAAAAACTGAGAAATCAACTGTGTTCTGTTGATGGTTGTACGCTAGTATCACTAGTGAAGTAGTGAACTGATGAATTCCCTCATCCAAGGAGTTTATTTCCATGATGAAAAATCAGATGAGTCGAATGGGAAAAATAGTTATTAAAATGATCATTTGGAATTATCAACAGTTCATATTTTGTATGGTAAGTTCTTGGTGAAGTTTCCAGGAACTAGGACTAGGAGAAATGTATGTTCGTTTCTCTTCCTAATATTGTAATGATGAAAATGAAAAAGCTAAGTCAGTGCCATCGACTTTTGATTTGCAATACACAAGGGTGGGCAAGAAAGAAGATTCCATTAGAAAAATGTGTCGGTGGGTTATTTATGGTTCTATTTGAGATGCTTGCCTTTTCTAAATCACATCAAGATCATGTTCATGACATCCTGAATATCATTTAATTGATTAATAATTTCGTAATATCATCTATACAGTGCGCATCATAAGTGTTACCCCCCCTATCTAACTCGACACGGGACTCTTGTTAAGGAAATCGACGAAACCCGTCGATTTTTGATTCCTACAGTGTACATTTTCATAGGAATAGCTCACTCCTAATTTCATCCCTTACTGGAGGGGAGCAACCCTGTCAAAAAATTCAAATAGCACGGGGTGGTTAGTGATAACTCATTTGAAAGGGGGTTTCAATCCCTATTCAACCGTGCAAAGAAATTGAAATTTCAAATGGGCTTTCACTCACCACCCCATGCTATTAAATTTTTTTGACAGGGTTGATGCACCCCTCCAGTGAGTAATGAAATAAGAAGTGAACTATTCCTACGAAAATGTACACTGTAGAAATAAAAAATTGACGGGTGTTAGCGATTTTACTAACAAGGGTCCCGTAACGAGTTTGATAGGGGGGTACTTATGATCCGCACTGTATAGTAATGATAGCCAATTCATATTGCATCTACTTCCATAACAATTGAGTTATAATCAAGGTTGCAATACAGCTTCTGATTACATTTATATGAGCATGAAATAGAAGCAACTACTATTAATGGATCATATATAGGTATAGATTACTTCATAGATTGAATTGGATTTTTGAACATACATTGAATATTCAAATTGTGTGATAGGTATGTACATACTGACATCTTTTCAAATTTTTAGCAAGGAAAAAGTTATGCGGAGTGCTGGAAGCTAGACAATTTTCGAAACCGAAAGTTCAAGTGGTACCTAGCAGAATATAATATCCCTAATAGCAAAAGCAAGTCACATGGATGTATCGCCGAGACATTCTGGACGTTCATACAACATGCGTTCTTGGTACCGAGGACATCCATAGTACGCCCGTGAGAAGTGAAATTGTCCCTACTTCTCAGCAAAGGGCGTCTTTTCAGAAAGTGAATTGCATATTCTATTTTTGTACCAAGGTCAAGAGGATGTCCTCTGAAACGTCCATAGGACGTATACAATTATAGAACGTCCCTGGAACTCCCATAGGAGGTTGTCTAGAATGTTCATAGGATTTCCATGGACGTACGAATTGATCTCGTCTTTGGACTTATTTAAGTCTTCCTGCGACCAAAACTTGCAAAACAGGTGAGAACATCCAGGTGAGCTGATGGTCCAAAGAAGGTCCTTGATAGATCGTGAAGAAGGTTCTCAAGGATGTCCAATCGACTTGCGTGAAGGACATTGACCGGGAGTTTTTATAGCCTACGAGCAGCTGGTCGTCATCGATGAACACACCATGTCGAAGTATAATATGCAAGTTTATCACTCTTGGAAAGGGAGTCGTGATATGGTATGGGGTATAGTCAAAGAGCTTGTAAAATTCCTATGTATCGGTCTGTCTGTAGGGCTAGAAATTCATATATCGATGAGTCAAAGGATGTTAGGTACCTTCACCTGGCAGGCCTCATTGTCGCACGTCATTAACGCATTAAAAAATGCACTTGGCGCTGTTAACTCCAACTGTTATTAAAATGCCATTCAGAAATCAGAGGATGAAGAAAAGATGTTGAAGTCGGTTTCGATGAGCAGAAGTAGGTGCCAGGCCATTTCAGAAGTGAGGAGAATATAATTCGTCTGATTATATATCATATCCTGCCAGGTACCACTTGAATCTGATGGGTTTTGGTTTCAAAAATCGTCCAGCTTTTCGAATTCTACCACCTTTCTGAAAAATTGGGAAAGATTGGAGTATGAACCTATTATAAACATTCATGAATTCACCATATCTATCAGCTATTTCTCCATATAATTCTCTCAACTCAATTAAATATGATGTCACTTCATACTTTGAATTGAATTTATGGAGATACATACCTACAATAACTGCAAATCAATTTCAGGAACAAGTACCTATAGTTACTTGATCTGTTGATTGTTGGAAATTGACATGGTTGAATGCTTCTACAAAAACAGCAATCTATAAAATTCTATTCAGGATGTCATGAACATGATCTTGATGTGATTTAGAGATGGCAAGCATTTCAAATGAAACCATTATTGATCCACCTGCACATTTTGGCCCCGTTCGTGCATTGCAAATGAAAAGTCGATGGTACCTACTGAATTTGCATCTTCATCATAATTATCACAATAATTGAACATAACAAATATTAAATAATCAGTCATCGAATATATCACTAGATCGAAAGTTCTCCTCGTTCATTATCGAAGTGAAAATGAGTGCTGGAGATAGGGAGTTTCTGTAGCTTCATTAGGTCGGTACAGATTCATCCAGTTTTCTAATTCATATTCGATGCTCCACGTTTACCAATTTCTTCCATTCAACTCAACTGATTTTTCATAATCAGAAAAGATTTCTCGAGTGCTGCAATTCGGTTTACTGGTGATACTAGTGCGACCAGCAACACCACACGGTTTATTTATCGGTTTTTGAGTGATTCAAAACAATCGAGAGCAATTCTATAGGTTTAGATGAAATCTTCCTTGGAATGCTGTACATTGTCTTCGATATCTTTTTTGATCATCTGACTCACATTATCAACACTGCTTTGACGACTGAAACATTTCCTGACGCTTGGAAACTTGTGATACCTCTGGCCAAAATTTCATCACCTACTGAATTGAAGCACTTGCGGCCTATAAGTATACTTCCAACACCCTCGAGAAATTTCGAATCAATTATGAAGACGAATGTCTGAATTTGCTTCCTTCAATGAAATTATAGCCGGATTTCGACTCCAATTCAGCACTAGCGCTCTGCTCAATGGAGCTGACGATTCATTCAGATCGATCGACAATAACAACGTCTGCTGCCTCATTCTACTCGACTACAATGAAGCATTCGACACTGTAAATCACAACTTTCTGTGGAAAAATGACGTATTTTGACTTCTCAGATGATTCCGTCGA